TTGCAAAAGTCATTGTGATATTGAGCAAATAATATATTGTGCAGCCCTACATCACAGTATCATCTCATCAGTTTCTGTACTGTAGTAGTTACTGGTTTTAAGGATATTCTATGGTATCAAACACCATAATAATAAGAGCTTTTCAAACAGTAATAATTCCCATAGCCGTGTTCAGTTGCTGTCCTTTTAAAAAGTCACTGTGTAAGTAAACAGTCTGCTGCTCCAATCTGTCTGCCAAGCACTTGCCAGGACAACACATGTTCATGTAATTGGCATCAGAGCAGTAAACAGTAGTAGTGCTGGTGATAATTTAATATTTTAATTGTTTGTGGTGTTATAAAGGAATATGAGAGGTTCATTAAAAAGTCGGTATATGTATGTAAGTTCATTCTATATTTATATATATATAATATATGGTACGAGTGGATCAGACACAGCAGTGTTGCTGGAGTTTTAAACACTGTGTCCACTCACTGTCCACTCTGTTAGACACTCCTACCTTGTCAGTCCACCTTGTAGATGTAAAGTCAGAGACGATAGCTCATCTGCTGCTGCACAGTTTGTGTTGGTCATCCTCTAGTCCTTCATCAGTGGTCACAGGATGCTGTTGGCTGGATATTTTTGTTTGGTGGACTATTCTCAGTCCAGCAGTGACACTGAGGTGTTTAAAAACTCCAGCAGCACTGCTGTGTCTGATCCACTCAGACCAGCGCAACACACACTAACACACCACCACCACGTCAGTGTTACTGCAGTGCTGAGAATGATCCACCACCCCAATAGTACCTGCTCTGTGAGGGTCCATGGGGGTCCTGACCACTGAAGAACAGGGCAAAAGGGGGCTGACAAAGTATCAGAGAAACAGATGGACTACAGTCTGTAACTGTAGAGCTACAAAGTGCACCTATATAGTAAGTGGAGCTGATAAAATGGACAATGAGCGTAGAAACAAGGAGGTGGTTATAATGTTACGCCTGATCGGTGTATATTTAGCTTATTACTGTCTAAAATAATGCTGGATTTTACTGTGTGACTGCAGTTTGAGCTAATTCAGTAGAACGATCCATATAGAAACACCAACTCCTGAGGAAGGACGTATGATCCGGCTTCTGGCCTTCAGTTCTTATAAACATTGCAGTTACACAACAGCACTGTGTGTACTGTACATACAGTATTATGCATTTGCGTTGGTGCTTTGCTACAGGCACATCACACTAACCTCACTCTCACTGTCCCACTGAAACAGAAGAAGAGTTTCTCATTCGCAGCTCATTGTCCTCTGCTCGATTACCCGAGCACCGGTCTGCTGCACTACCCACATTCACAGGCACTGTGTGAAATGACTGGTAAATGAATATCTTATTAAAAAGCGTGTCAGGCTAGCAGAGCTATCTGAAGCTGAGACTCCGGCTGCTGGCAGAATGTTCCAGAGCCACCGAGTGACTGACTCACTCTGGAGGGATCTGGGGGAGCTTGTGTCTCTCTGTGCTACAGACACATATTAGACTCTTTGTTTTGTGAGGCTGCTCTCATTGCAGTGCATGAAAAGGCCTTTATTATAACACTCCCCATTTTACCATGTGAGATTTTTACCATTTTAATTTTAGATTTCACTAAAAAGTAAAACTGTTCTGTCGAGTATAGATATTTACTTTTCTTTTACTCTTTGTCTTCTGCACTGGTTGGATCTTTCTCTTTCTCTCTGATCTTTGCGTTTTCTACTGCTTGGATCTAATATTTTTACAATTAAGCAATTTACACTCCCACCTACCTTAAGCCCTATTTGAGCTGGATTAGTTTTACCAGAGGCCAGTTTACCAGTTTTACCCCAGATATCTCAGATTGAAACATCATTGCGCCGATGTTTACATCAGCATTATGCAACATGCCCCACCGAACTGTGACAACATGCTACATGTTAAATATGGTGCAAAAAAAAGAACAAAACGCAACACTGGACGAGGGAGGAGACTATTTCAGTAGTCAGGTCAGGAACTTGAGGATTAAGGAACTGGGTCAAGTTCCATTTAGCTGTTAGCCATGTTTTGTTACCCAGTTTTGTTACCACACCACTGTAATGTTGATTCGAGCGTGACCACTACTACTGAGGGAGCTCCACGTTTGGCGAATTATAAGCTCTATTTGAGCTGGATTAGTTTTACCAGAGGAGGTATGCTAATCTAATTTGTGCACGATTAGACAGGCCGATTCGTACGGGATGAAGAATCTTTGTAATTTCCACAGATTACCCCAAATAACCTGGATCGAAACATTATTATGAAAATGTTTACATTAGCATTGTTTGATCAGCACCACACTTCTGAAAAATGACAACACGCTGTGCAGCTAAATTATATATAAACTAGCATTAGGCTAGTAAAGTTTCCTTCAGTTTACTAAATGCCACGCAACAAGACAGGAAACGTGCTGCCGTTTGAGTTCATTTATCTTCTCTTTCGTAATTCGGCCATCGCTAAAATTGTGGATTTCGGTAGTCTCGTCATGAACTTTAGGATTAAAGAATTGGGGCAAATTTAGCTCCATTTTAGCTGATATCCTTGTCTTCAGGGCACAAAAAAAGAAAAGGGAGGCACCATTTTCTACAAAACTGAAGTCAGCTTCTTATTCGCCAACTTCTCGTTCGAATTGTCCCGTTCCACCTTAAATGGTGCAGCAGTTTGATTCTGGCGCGTCACTGTAACCGGTGCCAGAATGTACCTGCTGCACCAGTTGTGCTGAGGAGTATGTGCTTAACGCTGATGTTTTAGCTGTACTGTTATTGTAAATGTTTAAAAATGTAGAAATTGAGACTCGATCTAAATGATCTACCTGGATTAGTATTACAGAGAAATTAAACATTTATTTCTGTAGGTGTTTTTAACAAAATGCATTATAGACCACTTTAAATAATTTTCTTTTTTGTAATGGTATATAACAATGTCATGATATGTCAGCTTTATTAACGTCACGTTGTTCTTTTCACAACTTATTTCCAAAATTGTTACAAGTGGATGTACAGCATTTTGCACTAAAATGCTTCAAATGCTGTAAAATGCAGACATTTGAACATTAAAGTATAGATCAGTGGTCAGCAGCATGCGGCTCTTTTTACTGCCCTGTTGCGGCTCCACAGCAGAGATGGACTACAGTCCATTATTAGGTAAAAATAAAATAATCCTCCTTTACAGTAAAATAAAGCTCTGCTGATCATTCAACACAGTTTAACAATAAATGGTCTTAAACTCTGGAGTTAATGTAGAACTGCTGATTCACCCTTTAACCCTGAAGGTTGGCATTCAGACTGCTGGTCACCATAGCAACACAGACAATCTCACCTAGCTAGTAGCTAACGAAACAACAAAGAGAAAAATTTAAGACAAACATTGATAATATGGAGATCAGTTGACTTATTTGAATTTATAATCACTCCAGCTGGTTTCCTGATACGTTTAATCAACGAGAAACTGACAAACACTAAGAAGTCATGAAGCTGAAGTCAGTTTCACATTTGCATTGTCCAGTTCCACCTTAAATGGCGCAGCAGTTACCTTCTGGCGCCTCACACAGCGTTTAAGGTGGAACGAGAAAATTCGAACAAGAAGCTGCCGTACAAGAAGCGACTACAGACTCATAAAAAGAGACATTTTCAAGAAACTGTTCTATTTTTGAGAAGTTTCCTGTCGGAGATGCGAGAAAAGCAGCTGAAGCTTAAAACAGAAAAGTGAGTCTGTGTTTTCATTTATATTTTTAACATATATTAGTACATACTGAGACAAATTAACAGCCAACATGGTAAAATGGACGTAAAATGTTGTGGCTCCCAAGGTGGTTTGATTTTTGTTGAAAGGATAAAATGGCTCTTCTTACCATTTTGGCCCCTGGCCTAGTGTCACTAAAACATTCTGCTCTTCTGGAGTACAATAAATGATCACAGGTCTGTCTGCCTTACGTCATTCTGTATCTTTTGGTACCGACATGATTTTTTTTTTCAACCTGACCTCCATATCAGATGATATTATTGACCTACTGATGTCCAGTAGATCTGGATTGTAGGTCAGTGCTGATGTTACAGTGTGGCTCTAACTGCTAGAGCACAGATCTCAGAGAGAGAACCTCATGTTTTCTTTGCTGGCAAAGCTGTACATTTTGTTCTCTTGCCACTCACAGTTGGGTATTTGAGTAACGTTAACAATCCACAGTTACTGGGATTATCAGTTAAACGAGCCCCGAGTTTCCCTATCTGGGCGTCTTTAGCTCACTGAGGGGCGATCAAAGGCGAGCAGGCGTCCTGAATTTGCTGTATCTGTCTCCTCGCCGCCATCCAGAGCCCCAGAAATAGCAGAGCTGCCGTATGACTCATGGTTCTACTGCTGAGCATTGCTTTTGTCACATAAACTCAAGTGAGGAACCTGTTAGCCTTTGGCCCACTGCATGCAGAATGGGGGGATAACGGAACCGTCAAGTGCTTCCCAACACGGCGTTCCGTCAGCCTACACACATCCACCTCGGAGCTACAGATAACCTACCCAATTAGTAATAACACACATCCTGCACAGGTGCACACACACACACACACACACACACACACACTCTCCCGGCCACCCTTCATGGAGGTTACGGTGGTCTTGAGTCTGTGAGACAGGAACAGCAGGAGGCAGAATCAAGGTGAAGACGCTGTCATTGTGGTGTGCAGAGAGTGAGAAAGAGCGAGAGACACCGAGAGAGAGCGAAAGAGAGAGAGAGGGGCTGAGCGAGCATGTGAGGAAGGGAGGGAGAAGGGGGAGAAGGAGGGGGTGAGTGCGAGAGCATGTGAGAGAGAGAGAGAGAGAGGGAGAGAGAGAGGATCGGCTCGCAGCGCTCTAGCTTGGCTGGCAGGAGCCGTTCTCCCGGGCCGTTGACGAATGAGCTGTCTAGCCGCGAGGCTGGGAAAAGCGGCAGCTTGTGACGAGCTGAGAGGAGGAGGATGAACGTAATGCGAACCTTGCCTCGTCTGCTTTCAGATACGGGCCAGAAGAAGACCCCCGACAAGAAGGACGCCGGCCGCCGCATGTCCTTCCAGCGACCCAAGGGGACCATCGAATATTCTGTAAGTAAACGCAGTGTCCGTTTCTCCTTTTTCTGTCTGTGTGTGTCCGAACACGTCTGAATCTCTCCGCTCCGCAGCTGGACCGTGCACTTTTCGTCTATGTGCTGCTGTCATTGAGGTGCATGTGCCATGTTGTTGTGATCGGACGGAGAGCCTGCGCTCTTGCCTTGTTTACAGCAGGCACATGTGCACCCGCGGTCCGTCAGAGATCGGACGTCTCCCTCGCCGCGCCGGAGCTTTGTTGCTGGTGGTGGTCAGCTGTGTCCATGTTGGTGAGCTGTTTGGAGAAGGCAAAAGCTTCTTGCTGTAAATGATTGACTACACAGAGAGAGAGAGAGAGAGAGAGATTTGACCCTTTAAAACATGTGCGTGTGTTTGTTTACGTAGCCGCTCCCTCCGTTCGTCTGTGTGTGAAAGAATGCATTTGTGCCCAGCGCTTATCAACGCGCACACTGCCAGCATTCACCAATGACCTTCCATCTGCGTTAGCATTCCTATTGATTTGGCGTCCGTGTGATGTGAGGGAGAGAGACATACGCACAGAAGGGGAGAGAGAGAGGACGAGAGACAAGCAGTGAGAGAAAAATAGAGAGAGAAGCATGGAGAGAGTCTTTCCGAGAGAGAGGGAGAGAGAGAGGGAGAGAGAGAGGTAGAGAGAGAGAGAGGCATGGAAGAAGAGGGAGGGAGGCAGGCAGGGAGAAAAAGAGGTAGAAAACAGAGAGAGAAGCATTGAGTGAGAGAGTGAGAGAGAGAGAAGCATGGAGACAGAAGAGAGCTTGAAGCAGAGAGAAAGACGGGGGAATAGGAAGGAGAGAGAGAGCTTGAGACAGAGAGGGAAATAGGAGAGAGAGAGAGCCTGAGACAGGAAGGGAAACTGAAAGGAAGAGAGAGAGAAATGGAGAGGATAACAGAGTTGAGAGAGAGCTTGATGGAGAGAGAGAGATAGATGATAATAGAGGAGAGAGAGAGATAGATGATAATAGAGGAGAGAGAGAGAGATGATAATAGAGGAGAGAGAGAGCGTGAGAGAGAGAAAAGAGAGGGAAAGAGTGAGAGAGCTTGAGACTGAGAGAGAAATAGGTGAGAGAGTGTGAGACAGAGAGAGAGAGAGAGTGGAAGCTTGAGGCAGAGAGAAAGAATAAGAGAGAGGAGAGAGAAACAGAAGAGAGCTTGAGACAGAGAGAAACAGGAGAGAGAGAGAGAGAGCTTGAGACAGAGAGAGAAACAGGAGAGAGAGAGAGAGAGCTTGAGACAGAGAGAGAGCTTGAGAGAGAGAGAGAGCTTGAGACAGAGAGAGAGCTTGAGAGAGAGAGAGAGAGCTTGAGACAGAGAGAGAGCTTGAGAGAGAGAGGGAAATAGCAGAGATGGAGAAGCATAAAGAGAGAGACCGAGACAGGAAAAGGGGAAGAATAGAGAGAGCTTGAGCTAAAAAGAAAGAGAGAGAGAATCTCAGAGAGAGAGAGAGGGAGAGGGGGGAGAGAGAGAGCTTTAGAGCTGAAAATGGAGCTGAAAGCTCACTCTGCCTCGCTGTGTTCTTGAAATGACCCTCAAATTTCCAGCTGCAGACGGGCAGCTTCTCTCTCTCTGATAACAGCGCTGAGCTCCGCCAGCCTCTGAGGCGCTCGCCGGCCGCCGCTGGTGTTCAGGGCTATCATTGAGCCGGGCAGATTGGAACCCGACCCAGTTCATAACAGGCACCAGGAAGCACCAGACTGGGCCATCTGTGCCACACTCCCCGGTTGCCACAGGTCACCAGGGTCCTCCAGCGCCCTTCCAAGGCCCTCTCTTCCGACCCCTCAGCAGCCGGGCGTCACTCCAAACCCCCACACCCACCTCACCCCCCCCACCTTCCGCCGCATCCGTCACTGTCGGCCGAGAGTGATCGTCAGGAGCTGTTGTTTTCCTCACTGGAGCGTGAAAAGGGTGCAAGGCTGTGATGAAGGATTTGTCAAAAGGGCGAGAGAGGGAGACAGACTGGGGGCTGGGAGAGAGAGAGAGAACGGGCTTTGCCAGCCTCAGTTTGGGTACCAGGCCTTTTTTGTGGGAATTAGGGATTTGATGAAAAACTTGTAGGGATGCATAAATACGTAAGTTCTGGGCTGAAAGGACAACCAGTAATTAGGGGTCATTAAGGGTCATTTTCACAAAACAGCCTTAAACTAGGTTTGTAAATATTCAAGTGTCATAATCATCCTATTGATAAACAAGATTCATATAATTTAGTAGATAAATGGTCCATAATGTACAAAAAGTAACATTTATTTCTATTTTAAAGTTTTTTTGACATGTTTAGTCTGATTCTCATGACTGTAATGTGTCCACTTGTCAGTTTCTCATTAACGACATTTATCATTTTATCATTTTTCATTACATTACTTTACTGAACCAAAAGAACAAATCATTATGCAGCACAAGTAAAAAAGAAGAATCTCAGTGCCTCTGAATGTGTTGCCATAACGAGAAAAAATGTTATAGTAATAGTCATATAGTATGTTATAGTAATTAGCTTTAAAAAATACATACTGCAACAACGATGTACAGATTATGAAAACAAAAGAAAAACATTATGTACACATTTATGTTTAAATCTGTGTTGCAATCATTAAAATTTGATCACTTTGAAAATGTTAGAAAAAGTCCATTTAAAATTAATGAAGTCATTCAGGTTTATTTGTAATCATTCAAACATGCATATCGCTGCTGTCGGAACAACAACCTCGTATCTCCAACATGGTAACTTCACAGGAGAAGGAAAAAACATACTTTACTTTTAATGTAAGTCAATGGAACCAGACTTTTCTCCAAGTCATTTTGGGCCGTTTCTTTTGGTCCATTCTTCATGAAATTCACACACAATGTAAAGGGCAACATGCATTTTCAAATAATGCCAAAAACTGAAAAACTACAAAAAAGGAGAGGTTTTCTTCTGACAGCAGCGAAATACAGTTTTTTAAAGTTGGGTTCCAGTGTTTGTTACATGTGTGAGAATAACTGTTCAGCGAGTGCTTCTGTGAAAAATATCTCATTTTAAAGTGTAGTAGTTTTAAAGGAAAAAGATCAGAAGGCTTTAATGTTGGTGTTGGTTGTATAAGAGAGAAGAAGGGGGGCTCCCAAGTGCTGCAACTGTCCAAGTGCTGGCCCCATCATCAGGAGATTTGGGGCTCGATCCCCGTGATGCCACAGCCATCCGTGAGTCCAAGAGAGCTTAACTGGCCTTGCTGTCCCTGAGTGGGAGGAATGACCCTCCCTTCTACATTAGCAGCAATTGAGCATGCATCTTGGATGATGCCTCTGCCAGCCTTCACACTCACAGCTTAGCACATTGTGTGATAAGGGGAGGCCTGGCTGTGTGGAATTGGGAATAACTCACTGCTGTCGGAGCAAAACCTCTTATCTCCATTTTTGTCCTTTTTCAGTTTTTGACATAATTTGAAAATACCTATCGCCCTTTACATTGTATCAGAATTTCATGGTGAATGGACCAAAAGAAACGGCCCAAAATGACTTGGAGAAAAGTCTGGTTCCATTGACTTACATTAAAAGTAAGGCAGTTTTTTTCCTTCTCCTGTAAAGTTACCATTCTGGAGATACGAGGCTTGTGAATGCTTTATATTGCAACCACTTACAGCTGTACATGGAATTATAACCTCTTACCTCCCTTATTTCAGGCCTTAAAGAAAACAGGACTTTGCTAATATTTAAAGCAGCAATTTGGTGAAAAATCTCATTTACAACATTTTCCAAAAGTAAGCACACCAAAGCATGTTTGTTATCTGTAGTTTGCCTCTTTACTTGTGCACTGGAGCTATAAGCTAACAAATGGAAGCTTAGAGCCCATTAATTAGCATCGTGCAAACAGCTCACATAACTCTCACACTTGCCTCAAGCAACATCAGCTTAAATAATCTCAACTAGATCTGCTTATGTAGTTTCTGATACTCTGATAATGATATGGGTAAAAATGGATGAACGTCAAGCGACAGCTGTTTTTACCTATACAGCACTTTTAAATTTGCTTAAAATAAGGCAGCCAGAGCGCTGATGTGTGCCAGTCTGCCGAATGTTTCCCGCGATTGAAGCGGCCCTCCTTATCTTCAGCCCTTATCTCCAGTTTCGTTTCTTCATTAGCGCCGTTGATGATAAGTTTGTAATCTCCCATTGGCCGGAAGAGAGGCAAGCCTCGCTCTTCTATCAGGGAAAACGATCTGTCTCTCCAGAAAGGTTGAAGGAAAAGGAGGGAGAAAAAGAGAAAAGCTCCATCACTGCAAGGCCTCTGCTTAGACACTGATAGAGCAGCCCGGTTCAGCGAGGTCCACCCAGTGGCTCACCCAAAACCAATTAAAATGGTGTTTAGACTCCAGGAAGGAGAGAGAAGGTTGTGGGCTCACAATACAGGGATACACAAGAGGCCCTGGGAGCCACTCGCTAAACGCTGGCTGTCTGGCAGCTCCAGATGCAGAGAGGAGCACAGTCTAGGTTTTATAACCTCAGAAGAGACAGCTGGTGAGCAGATTATAAGGTTTATTTTTTAAAAAGATGATTGCCTTACGGACTCCTGTGAAGAGTCATTAGCACATTACCCATAAAGCAGCGCTGCTGATTATAGAGTATGTGATAGAACTGTGTTCCTGTTCTTCTGAGTCATGTTCTTTTTAGGTTGCGTCTTGTCCTGTAAATAAAACACCTGGATCCATAATTATGTGCATATTCTGTTAACCCTTGTGTGGTGTTGATGTTGTTAGTCAGTGGTCTGGTGGACCCACCATATTATTGGTTTTTAAATCAATACAGCCAGAACAATTCATGTAAAAATGCCAGATGTTTAAAATATCACAAGTGTTCAGTGTAGGGATCTCTTTTAGCAGCTGTAGCCAGTCAGCAGCCTGTCCATGTTGTCCACACACACACGCACACACACACACTAACAGCAGGCCATGTAGGAGGAGAACAGAGTGAAGGACACAGCACCTCCACACTTTTACTCCCGCAGGTTCACCCAA